GAGTCCAGGCTACTTCACTAGCTGGGAACGGATCCTGGACGGAGCCAATCTCGTTCTATGTCCAACCCAAACGTAAGCTTTTTGGATGTTGGGTACCCTGGAAGAAGAAAACAGATCTAGGATGAGGAATGGTATAAATTCCCCCCCCCCCATGTTATATATTCGTTAGACACCAGCTCTTTTAATGGGATTCTCTACAGCTCTGGAGTGTGGGGTCTCCTTGATCATTTAGTCAAGACTGCTTGGAATGGACCTTTAACACATTTAGAAGCATTGTGTATGTGTGTGCCTCTGTTGCTTTCAATGAGAGCTTACTTGGGGGTGCTGGTGAGCTTGTTCTGAGAAGAAAAGTGCCACCTTTGGGGCACTGAGGGCACTTCCGATCTTTGCATGGGACTTGGGCTGCACTCCAATGTGTGAATGGAACAAGAAGGGAGCAGGGCAGGATTTTATTTGAATATTGTACAAATTATAACAGAGGGACAGGTTTTGGAGTGGACCCCAGGTATAGCTAAGAGTTCTGCACTGGGCAGTGCAGATAATAACTTTCCCCAAACTACACCTTGGTGACATGTTGGACTCTAAGTCCCATGTACCCCAGCCAGCATGACATCTTGAACAGGCTGACTGGGGCTCGTGGAATTTACTAGTCCAACTCCTCTGAGATATGGTTTCCCAGTTGGTAGGGATACTGGGTGGGAGGTATTAAGACCACCTCTGAAGGGTACCAGGTTGGGGAAAGTAAATCATGATACACAAGTAATGGTGCTTTTTTTTTTTTGAAATGCTGGGTCCTCTTTGTTGCAGCAGCAGACTACGGGAATTTCTTGCATCTGATCATCGTGCTCCCCATTGCAGTCCTGCTGATCATCGGAGGGCTCCTGATCATGCTCTATGTCTGTAACAAGAAGAGGTGAGGCCTGAGCAGAATTGCCGATTGATTGATTGATTGATCAGAGCCCCTTGTAATGAAATGTTTATTACAGTCAAAAGACCCAGTAAGGGCTCCTTTTCAGCTGACCTCAATTTGGTGCTTGGATTCGCACAGGGAAGGGATTCTTATGAAACACTTTATATAATCTCTCTCTCTCTCTCTCTCTCTCTCTTTCTCTCTCCAAGCAAATCCCAGCAAATGGAATAAATAATTCTGACAAACATTACAGGCAATATTAAGTAGTCCAAAAGTGGTATATTCTTCCTGTCCTTCCTCCCCCTCGTGTTCACAGCCCCCACACTTCCTTTTCAACCTTTCTTTTTCATTTAAGGACATGACTTACTTTTGCATAATTAAAACGAGCAGATGCGGGTCTCAGGGTAGCTTTCATCATTCATCCTTTCTTCACGGGGATGGAATACAATTTTCCGAAAAGTTGTCACTTTCTCACAACCGTTCTCGTCAAACATCGCTACTGTCAGCTTTTTCTATTATTAGCTGAACACCTCTTTCAAAGCTTCTGGAGTGGGATAAATGGATGGGAGTAGTTAATCCTAGCAAGGACAGGTTCCCTAAGTTCATATCTCCCTCATTTACCTGGTGTCACTTGCCTGGTGTCACAATCTCATATTCCACTTCTCAGGATGGTGGAAGGAAGGTTAAGTTGATGATGCAGTAAGTCTTATAAAATCCCTGAAACAGTTATCTGTGTTGTTAGTGTATTCGTTAGGGAGGGACCGGTCTTGACATCGTCAAAAGTGGCATCAGACACGGTGTGGGGGTGCGTGTAAAAAAACATGTGCAATTCAAAGATTTGTGCTTGTGCGTGCATGCACGCACACACATGCAAATGCTATCTTGTTCAGACCTTCAGAAAATCAGAAAACTGTAAAAGACAGAGCTAAGGACAGTTGCAGATCTCTTCCTGATATAACAACAATAATGAACCATTAAATATATATGCTGCCCGACTCCCAGCGACTCTGGTGGTTGACAAGTGGTTAAAAATGTTTAAAAACAAATGGCAATACAAAAAACACAAAACAAAAACACAAAGTGACAAAGAAAACAAATCCAGATGGGAACAAGGGAAGGGCAGAAAAGGGGCCTCTGTTGTCCTCAGAAAGGCCTGAGTGAAGAGCCACATTTATGCCACTCCAGTTATCAATTTTAGGAAATAACTGTCACCTGAAAATGCAAATGTAAGGGGTCCACCAATGCATAAGACGTACGGGGGAAGTAACACATCATATTCCTCGCACCTCCATACAACGTGCTAAAAGTAGTTATTGGTGCGTGGGGGTGGTTGTGTTTTAAAAGCGAGTCCCAGAACAGAGCTCCAAGTGAGAGGCCCAAAATAGTGTGAAGATTCTGTCCTCTGTTTGTGGAGATGGGCATCAACGTGAAGAAGTAACTGCTTTTATTTTAACAGGAACAGCGACAGGCTTGGGAACGGAGTACTTTACGCTTCTGTGAATCCTGAATATTTCAGCGCTTCGGATGGTGAGTTAGCTCTTCACAAGCAAAGTTTTGGAGCAGGGTGAATGGCGTTTGCAGAAGCAAAGGCAAGCATTCACTCCTGTTGTTGGGCAGGCAGGCAGTTGCTAGAGATAAAATGCCTTTCTCCCCCTCCTCCTC